ACCAACTTTGACGAAAATAACTTTTTAAGGTAATATTTTTTTCATTTTACTGTTCGGCAAACACTCGGCCGTATTTTGCCGAAAACCGAACCGAACCGAAACTATTAGGCCGAACTGTTCGGTTACCGAGCCCGAACCCGAAGGCTCGGTCGCATACTAATAATAACATTGTATACGACTACGAGTTAAATAGCTGCGCATTATTCAGATGCAATGAAATGAAAGATTTGAGTGTTATCTTTGATCCGAAATTTACTTTCTCGAAACATATAGACTATATTGTATCCAAAGCTTTTGTAATGTTAGGGTTTATAAGAAAGAACAGCAGAGAGTTCAAGGATCCATTTAGTGCCTAGAATTATGTTATCCAATATGGAACCCCTATTACGACATACATACATTCATATAGAATGGAACGCGTTCAAAAGGTATTTACAAAGATCGCTTTGTGTAAGTTATCGTGGCATTGTTTCCTCCCCTCTTATATTGGGAGGCGGAAGTTACTTGGATTGCAGTCGTTGCATGACAGGAGAACGTATTTCTCTATAATTTTTATATACAATATTATTAATGGTCGTATTAACTGTACGCATCTTGCAAATTTGTTCAAATTATATATTCCTCCGCGAAACCTGAGGAATAATCGGCTGTTTGAATGTGCAACGCACTCTACAAATTGTGGTGATAATGAACCAATTGCTAGATGTGTTAGGCTTTGTAATACATACTCAGTTTTAATTGATTTTGATCTGAGTATTAATAAATTTAAATTAAATTAGTTTATGCAATTTAATTAATTATTTTAATAGTTCTAATTAGTCTAATTGAATTCTGTAAACTGTAAAAAGTAAATAAATAAATAAATAAATAAAATAAATAAATAAATGAAATAACAATAATAATTTTAATTTGCAAAGAAAGTTTTTAGCCACAAGCTAAAATATTTTGCCATTTTTACCCACTTTTTAAAATCGAATCTGGCCACCTCTAAAAATTGTCAGCGGCAACACAATGAATAATATCCACAACACTATTTCTTGTGTTATTCAAAAATTACTGATTGGGATATAATAAAACAAGGTGGCTTACGTTAATTCCTACCTTTGAGACAGTTTTGAAAATGATGCAGCCTTTGAAGAGCTGTTTTCTGATTATATTATATTTTAAACACGCACAGCGTTTGAATTGTACAGAATGTGACGGGTCCGCTGATCATACAAGCTTGACGAGTTCTCGGTTATCTGCAGCTACGTCATTGGTGCTGAAAACTATTAGTCGGAATTTTTCAAATTCAATTTATGTATGCCTGGAAGTAAGGTACCCGTAGAAAGAGTTTGTTCCCAATGAATATCTTATAGACACGTGAAAAAATACAATTAAGCGTTTGAAAGCTTTTCTGATTACCAAGTCTAACATCAGCAAGCAATGTAGAGAGTGGCGACGAATAACTGTTACCCAGTTTTTTTTTTAATAAAAGGGTCCTTCATAGATTTTGCGAAAAAATTATTTTATTGTTAATTTTACAGATTTTAATTGAATTTTATTAATTAGTTGTTTTTGTTATTTTTATGGCCTTATAACAATTATATTCAACAATTTTTATGAGCTTGAGGCCGTTTTTAGTGAAAACTTATTGTGGAAAAGCAACAATA